TAAGGAGAACACAGATGAGCAGGGGTGGTAGAAGCAGAGTACACAAATGCAGGGAGTGAGGGATTGCATTAATGAAACAACCCCAGCACTTTAATAAAACATTAATATAAAACAACCTAGCACTGTAGTACAGTACGTTGAGCTGCCACTTGGGACACCTCCAGCCCATATCTGAGTCCTGAGATTGAATCCCACCTCTGCTCCTTCCACTCCAGCATACCTGGTAACGCATCTGGGAAAGCAGCAAATGATGGCCCAAGTACTTGGGTCACTGCCCTGTGAGACCCGCCTGGCTGTTGTGGGCATTTGTGGAGAAAACCAGCAGATGGGAAACCTCTGTTTATCACTGTCTATCTGCCTTTCAAATAAAAGGAACATAGTAAGTTTAAAATGGTAAACATTAAATAAATGTTGAACATAAATAAATAAAGCCTTGAATCATGTAGCGACACCTCCAACTGCCCAGTGCCTCAGAAGGCTGACACGGGGTAAGGCAGCTCTGTTAACTCTGGCTGGAATAGATCCTCGTGCCGGCCTTGAATCATGTAGCGACACCTCCAACTGCCCAGTGCCTCAGAAGGCTGACACAGGGTAAGGCAGCTCTGTCAACTCTGGCTGGAGTAGATCCTCGTGCCGTCTGGGTTGGGCAGTGCTCAGGGCACTCAAGGGCGAAGGGTTTCATTTCATTCATTGGCTGGTACAGTAAGTGGGCTTTGAAAATGAAGACTTTGATCACTAAAACAGAAACTTTGAATTGCAAGATCTCTTACACTATAAACTTGAAATGCATGCCTTTTGTAAATTGTAATCACTAAACAAAATGCCTTTTAAAATTATTCTTTTGAAAATATTTAGGGTTTTTTTTAAAGATTTATTTATTTGAAAGGGAGAGTTACAGAGAGAGAAGGAGAGAGAGATTAATCTTCCATCCACTGGTTCACTCCCCAAATGACCAGGGCTTGGTTAGGCTGAAGCCAAGGGCCTGGAAATCCATCAAGGTTTCCCATGTGTGGCAGGAGCCCAGTACGTGGGCCATCTTCTGCTGCTTTCCCTGGTGCATTTGCAGGGAGCTGAATCAGAAATAGAACAGATAAGACATCCATATGGGATGCTGGCATTGCAGGCAGCAGCTTAACCTGCTGTGCCACAAGGCTAGCCTCCAAAATATTTAGTTTTTTAGTTAAAAAGAAATATATACTTTATTTTTAAGTTGGAAGTAAACTGCACAAGTATCTTCCACTCTCTCTGGTCTAGCTCCCTAAGGGACAGGCACTACAACCAGTTGCATCTGCGACATTCTTGACCTTCCCATAAACACCCGGATCCCATCCCACAACAGAAACTGGTATTTGCACAAGTATCCATGTAAAAGTGTGTATTACCTAACACGTGCTTATCCTGTGGACTTGAATGGTAACTGCCGCAGCGACGCCTAAGTCAGCTGATTCCCAGGGGATGGGGCCTTCCAAGACCCCTCAGCTTCGGCCTGGAATCATCAGCTATCAGGCACCAAGAGAAGACAGACTAGCAGCACCACTGCTTGCCTTTCCTGCAGTCCAACTACACTCAATGTGGATGCAACATATTTAAAATTTTTATCAGAATAGAAAGAATGCACACAATTCCAATTTCAGCATTTGCCAAGGAAACCACATCTTTCTCTCCCCCAGTTCTATAAACTTATTTTCTCAGAGGCAACTGTGAATTGCAAATAAATCTGTACTGTTTTAGCCAGATTCAGGGGCCAGCTCTGTGGCATGGCAGGTAAAGACGCCACCTGTGATGCTGGTATCCCATATAGTCACCAGTTCGAGTGCTGGCTGCTCCACTTCTGATCCAGCTCCCTGCTAATGGCCTGGGAAAAGCAGTGGAAGATGGCCCACTGCCATCAAAAACCAGGACTTTCATTAAATATTGTTCAACAATTCACATTTTTCACTTGTTTACATAGTCAGTACATATATTCCCAAATGGCTCATATTTTAAACACTTTTCTTAAATAATAATAAAGCCAAATATCCCACATAGTGATTAAGAATTTAAAAATAGCCTATAAAAGTTATAATGAAATGGTAAGTTCTCAAACACTACAACATGTAGGGTTATTCTTTCTGAACATTTCCATCAGACTCTTAAAGAAAGAAAAATAAAATAAGCAAATGAGTCTTTTTACTTCCATTAATAGGCAAGTCTTCCCAGGTGCTTTCTTCTCATATATTAAAAAACATTTTTTTGTCTAAATAGAAAAAACACATAGTTCCAATTTCAAAATTGGAGATTTTTCCGATTGCAAAGTTCACACAGTCAGAAGTGCACCTTCCTTGCCCTGCCGTTGCCCAGCTCTGTAATTTACACTTTCTTACATATATTCTGAAAGTGTTTCTGAATATTTGTGTTACTCAGCTTTTTGTTACTACAAGTAAAATATCTGATAGGTGCTAAGGTTTATTTTTGCTCACAGTTTTGGAGGTTCAAGTCCAAGATCAGGTGGCCCCACTGGTCTGGCATCTGATGGACCACATGGGGAGGCTCCCCCGCCAGCCAGGAAGTGGAGAGAGGAAGCACACTTGTCTACTTCTAGGTAGGTTCTCCTTATAAAGCAACCATGATTCTATCACAGGGGCCCCACCCCAACAAGCTAATTAACTTCCAGCCTTAACCCAGGAAGGTAGACTCGTCTTCAGGGAACACCCAAGCTGGTATCAAATCCATAATAGAAGTCTGTATGTTGAAAATAAAAACATGTTACCATTAAGACTACATATTATATATCTGTAATTTTTACATATGAACGATGAAGAAAGTTAAACCTAATGAAAGAATTTTGGGAAAAAAAGGAAACCAGTGCTAGGGGAATTTATTATGGTTCACAAAGCATGCCTCTCTAAAACTGAATCAACCTTTAGCAAAAGTTAATGTATACAGGGCCAGCACCGTGGCTCACTTGGTTAATCCTCTGCTTGCGGCGCCAGCATCCCATATGGGCGCCGGTTCTAGTCCCGGTTGCTCCTCTTCCAGTCCAGCTCTCTGCTGTGGCCTGGGAAGGCAGTGGAAGATGGCCCAAGTGCTTGGGCCCCTGTACCTGCATGGGAGACCAGGAGGAGGCACCTGGCTCCTGGCTTCTGGCTTCGGATAGGCGTAGCTCTGGCCGTAGCAGCCATTTTGGGGGTGAACCAACAAGAAGGAAGACCTTTCTGTCTCTCTCACTAACTTTGTCAAATAATAATAATAATAAAAAGAGTTAATGTAATGTATACAGTTGTGGTTTTCTTTCTTTCTTTTTTTCTTTGAGAGGTAGAGCTACAGACAGAAAGAGGGAAAGTCAAGAGATAAAGGTCGTCCATCCACTGGTTCTCTTCCCAAATGGCCACAACAGCCAGAGCTGGGCAGGTGCCTCCTCCAGGTCTCCCATGCGATGCGGAGGCCCAAGCACCCAGGCCATCTTCCACTGCTTCTCCAGGCCTAGCAGAGAGCTGGATCGTAAGAGAAGCATCCAGAACTTGAACCAGCACCCATATAGGACACCAGCACCACAGGCAGAGGCTTAGCTTACTATGCCACAATGCCGGCCCCAAATTTATACAATTCAGATTGTTAAGTTATCTGTGTTTAATAGAAAATACTTAACTGGCACCCCAGTTCTGTTAAGTGTTACTTTATAACAACATGATTTACATTTAACACTTAGATGTTTTAATAAGATTTTATCAAATGTGATAATGTTATGATAAAATGTTTTTGAATGCAAACTATTTAATGTATATCTTAATAATTATACAAACCTGACTTGTGATTTCTACCTAATGTGATAAGTAATGGCTCATCATTTAACTGATTATAAACTTGAGTATATTTCTAGGGAAAAAAAGAAAAATTTTCAAAAACCAACATCATGTTTCCCTTGCCCCCACCAAATTCTGAGACTTGCTTACTTTTATTACAATCTTACTTCTCAATCCAAATGAGGAAGAAGGGCTAGGACAAAACCATGGAGTCAGAAAGCTTATCAGGATACTTTAAAAAAGCATATGGAAAATGGAATAAAAAGATGCACTTATTTTGGTGCAAAGAAACTTTGAAATTCATGTATATAGTTTTTTTGTAAATATGCAATTTCCATGAAAATTTTGAAGACTTCTGTATGGATGGATTTCAAAAATTTTTGAATAATTTTTTATTTTGACAGCAACAGAAAAATAAAGATCTTTCATCTGCTGTTTCCTGCCCCAAATGTCCACAACAACTGGACCTGAGCAGGCTGAAGTCAGGAGCCCAGAACTCCATCCAGATCTCCCACATGGGTTGGAGGGCCCTAAGGACTGATCCATCGTCTCCCAGGGTGCACATCAGCAGGAAACCGGATCAGAAGCAGAGCTGAGACTGGGACCCAGGTACCCTGATATGGGATGCAGGCATCCCAAGCAGTGTCATAACTGCTGAGCTACCACACCCATCCCTAAAATTATCTTTTAATTCTATTTTTCCATAAACTGGTTGAAGTATCCTTATATTTGGGAGTCTGGGGTAATGTAACATATGCAAAGAATTGGGGCCAGCGCTGTGGCGCAGCAGGTTAACACCCTGGCCTGAAGCACCGGCATCCCATATGGGTGCTAGTTCAAGACCCGGCTGCTCCACTTCTGATCCAGCTCTCTGCTATGGCCTGGGAAAGCAGCAGAAGATGGCCCAAGTCCTTGGGCTCCTGCACCTACGTGGGAGTCACAGAAGAAGCTCCTGGCTCTTGGCTTCAGATTGGTGTAGCTCCAGCCATTGCGGTCAATTGGGGAGTGAACCATCGGATGGAAGATCTCTCTCTGCCTCTCCTCTCTCTGTGTAACTCTTTCAAATAAATATATAAATCTTAAAAAAAAAAAAGAATTAACTTTCTTCTTAGCAAAGTATTAAAACACTTGCCTGGAAAAATTATGAAGCTCTTGAATGTATCTCTTCAAAAAATCTTCAAGACAATGAAGCATTAGTTAAAAGTGAAATCAATGCAACTTAAAATAACTTCTACATCCTTGCTGGACCCATTCTTTCTGCTAATACTTAGCTGCAATCCTATGGACATGAAATTTCTGAAACTCAGAAAATCTCATTTTTATTTCAAGATAAATTTTGAAGCAAGTAGAGAAGGTAGCAGGAATTCAGGTTTCTTGTTTTAGGTGAGTTTCCCCGGCTCTTTCTAGGCCCACACAGCGGCCTGTAGCTATCCTTGCTGCCCACAAGGATGACTGTACTTTAAATAAAGGTATTGACTGAAAGGTCAGCTTTAAGTTTGTGAGTAAAAGAAACCCAGAAAGTTAATATGAGCTAGTATGAAAATGGCTTTATTTAAACAAGGAAAAAGCATTGTACTTTCTGCAATAGATGAAGAGTTAATACTTTTCCTTATACCAGTAAACACACATCTTACCATAGTTATTTATGTTAAAATACGCCCACCAGGCAACATACGATAAAATACGAATGTTGGTTAATAATGTGAACACACAATAAATGGCTAAGAAAACAAGGCTTTAAAATGTTAGTTCTTCACATTCCGCATAGAACTTCCAGTGCTGATCCATTATATGGCATGGGAGAAATTCTTGATCACTGATCAGCAATATTTCATTTATTTGTAGATAACAGGGGACACTTTCTGTTGACTCTCTGGAAGTTCCTGTTTAATAAAAGTATCAACAAATTAAAAAATGCCTTTAAATCCAAGATTTACATTTCGTCATTACAAACCATAGAATCCAGCGCAGGCTGTGTGAGAACACACATGGGAGAACCTGTAACGTAAGGTACTGGTAATGACAGCAAGGCCTGAGTCTCAGATACAGACACCATCACCCCTTGGAACTGCCACACTTGAGCTCATGGGCACCCATGCCCGTGACACAGCCGGGTGTGCAATGAGGGGACGCTGGGGATCACACCAAGGCTAGGCTCACAGGAATAAAGGCCTTCCCCAAACGCTAGTCCCATCTACAGTGCTTTTAATAGATGAGCTTCATCTGGTGGCTTTTTATTTTTATTTCATTATTTTTAAAGTCTTTTTTTTTAAGATTTATTTTGCTTATTTGAAAGCCAGAGTTACAGAGACAGACAGGGGTCAAGAGAGAAAGAGAGAGAGAGTTTCCATTTGCTAGTTCACTCTCCAAATGGCCATAACGGCCAGGGCTGGGCAAGGCTGAAGCCAGGAGCCAGGAACTCCATTCAGGTCTCCCTGTGGGTGGCAGGGACCCAGGTACTTGGGCCATCCTCCCCTGGACCACAACCCAGGTGCATCAGCAGGAGGCTGCATGTGAAGCAGGCAGTGGCTTAGCCTGCTGCACCTCAACACAGACTCCAAACTCAATCTACTTGCATTCTAACTTTCACTGACCTAGTGACTCCCAGAAGAATGGTTTACAGTACAGCAACACTAAAGTTAAACCTTTTCCCCCTTAGCCTATCATTCTTCTTTGTCAAACAAGAAAACAGCACCTGTATGAAGGCTGTCTGTACCATGGCTAAGCATGAGTGGGTATTACTTCACCCTCTTAACTGGCTTTGCTTGGAGAAGAACCTGGGCTCTTTCCCATAGGGCTGCGATGATTTAACAGAGAGGGTCTATTTCAAGCGCACATTCTCTTTTTTTGGCAGGGCTGACTTTATCACTAAAGTCTTAGGCCTTTCTCATCAGGCTAGCTATGACACGTGGCTAGCATAGCTGCAAGACTGATCATGAGGCCGGCGCCGTGGCTCAATAAGCTAATCCTCCACTTAGCAGCGCTGGCACACCAGGTTCTAGTCCCAGTCGGGGTGCTGGATTCTTTCCCAGTTGCCCCTCTTCCAGGCCAGCTCTCTGCTGTGGCCCGGGAAGGCAGTGGAGGATGGCCCAGGTGCTTGGGCCCTGCACCCTATGGGACACCAGGAGAAGCACCTGGCCCCTGCCTTCAGATCAGCGCGGTGCGCCAGACACAGCGCACCAGCCATAGCGGCCATTGGAGGGTGAACCAACGGCAAAAGGAAGACCTTTCTCTCTGTCCCTCTCACTATCCACTCTGCCTGTCAAAAAAAAAATAAAAATAAAAAAAAAAGACTGATTATGGCTGATATTCTATCTGTTAGCCATTGCCATGGCTTTTCTAAGTGACAAGGGTATGGCAGCCAAATACCCATGCCAGCTCCACTCAAGTTCCTCAGTAGTGGAAGTGATGGGGACAGGCAGAGAGGTGGTGAGGGAGAAGAAGGGCAGAGAGCATGCAGCCTTCCCTTCCAATTCAACGTAGCGGCTGCAGGCTCGGTCACCCTCTCCCCATCACGCACCAGACGCTCACTTCCCCTCATGCCAAGACAGTGTGTACTGCAGGCCACTTGGAAACGCTGAGACCCCAAAATTCCAATAAACCTAGGACACAGGTGAAGGTATGCAAGCCCCACAAACTCCACCCTCTATCCTGTGAAAGGAGCATCCCAGCTTCAGTGGGGGGCAGCCAGTATTCCTTGCTCATGGAGACAGGTTGCCCTCGCTCACGTGCACAGGTGCATCCTTCCTTCCCAGAAATCCCGCTTTCCTGCGCCTTTGCGTCTGCCTGGGACGCTTCCCCCCAACACACGGCGGCACTTCCACGGGACAAGGCTGTGGGAACAGGCTTCTCACTCCATGAAGCACAGCCTGAGACCACCCCCAGTCTCTTATACAACAGCTTCCTTCCTGTAATAATCAGACCGGGGCAGTCGGGCAGGAAGAAAAGCACCAACCCCTGCAACACAACTGTCAGTGCCTCTGCCGGCAGCTCCATTAGTCTCCGCCCACCACGGCATCTCTACCCACGTACTTCCAGTCTGTGCTGCCCCCGGCTGTTAAATTCACCTCTGGCTAACCACCACTTGCAGTTTTCTTTGTAGCTATTCACAAGAAAAGCCCCACACATCTGGGGGTGGGGTTAACCAAACCCAACACACAATACAGAAAACCGAGCTAAACAGGAAAATCCCCACGAAACTAAATGTGAGAACACAGCAACTGACTTCAAATTCATGTTCCCAGTTTGAATTTTTACGTGGCTATCAAATTTCCAGAGCACTGCACTAAATACTCAGTTTGCCCCTGGCCCCTGATGTCAGGAGGCCGGCTTCCTGCATTCCAGGCCAGGAGGCCGTTTTAGGTGCTCTGACTAGGCCTGGATTGTTCTATGGCATGATGGACGGTGCAGCACACAGACTTCTGGCGGACTGCCAGGACCCAGCATTCACCTCTTCCCTGCGACAGGCACAGTGCCCTCTGGGAGGGCTGTATGGAGCAGGGTTCAGAAGTCTGGTGGGATATAGGCAGGGAGGCAGTGAGGAGGAGCGGAGGAGTCACTCACCCAAGCTCCGCCCTTTTCCACGTTAATCCAACATGGCTGCAGGCTTGGTACATCCACTCCTGAGCCTCACTTCCCATCATGCATCAGATGCCATGACGTCTCCTCATGCCAACATGTGTTCTGCAGCCACACATGCACCAGATGCCGTGAAACTCCTAGAGATGACAATTTGCTGCAGACCCTGCCCTAAACCCTGCCCCATTTGAATATTCAACCAGGCCTCACCCTGGGCATCATCCCTGTGCCACACTCCATCTTACTGTGTACCAAATAAATCTCACATTCCTGCTCTGTCTTATCTGTGCCTCTCACGCCTGTGGGCAAGAGCCTGAAACAGCCCAGCAGAGGGGTCCCCCCGTCTTGGGCCTGCAACAAACCCACTGTGTGTTCTTTTCTTAAGTTGTTTTTCTCAAGTTACAAGTTGTTTTTCCATTCTTACTTGGGACATGCAGATTTGAGTTCATATAAATCCTATCATTGTAGTTTTATCTGTATTTGAAGATGTGGGCCTTAAATTCTAAAATCAACATGTTTTTCTATTTTTTTTTTCTGTTAAGTCACCAACAATGCAAAACATTTTACTTAAAAACAAAGTTAAGGAAACAAAATGGAGTCGGTTTTGTCCATTTGTGATATGCTCTATACAATACAACAAAAACAAAAATAATCAGATTTATCTGATGGCTCACTTCACTATTCTACAAACTCTTTTCACATTTTACCTCTCAACCTTGTCATTTATAAAACTAGCTCAGGAGCAACTGACTTATGAGGCTCACTTCTGGCTTCCTTGATTTGTTCTTATCACCTAAGCATTCAGTACTTCCCCAAGAATGCGGAATCAGACTTTGCTTACTCTGGTCATAAATGGAAATGACCATAATGCATACATACTTCTTCTGTGCTGTTTTCCTCACAACATTTCTGGCACCAAACGTGTGGGTTTCTTCCGTATACCAACCATTTGTCCAACTCCCCGGCACCAGCTCAGTGTCCTACAGTCAATTCAGCTCTGACACTGACTACTCAGAGTCAGCATCAGACTCCTGCCACTGCCACGGGTGGAAGGGCCCAGTCCCCAACACTGGCCATGCCTCAGACACCAACTGCAAGCAGCAGGTTCTGGCTCCTCACGTTTCTGTCCAGTGTGGCTACAAATCAGAAGGTTTCCCTAACATTCTCCCTACCCCAGGGTCTGATAATTCACTAGGATGACTCAGAGATCAGGAAAACGCTTTTCTTACTATTAAAAGACACAACGCAGGAACAGCCAAATGGAAAAGGTGAGCCGGGCACGGAGCTTCCCACGCCTCCCTGGGCACCACTGCCCAACACCTTCCGTGTTCCAGAGGTTCTCTGACCCTGTCATGGAGGGGTTTTACAGAGACCTCACTACACAGCTATGGTTGTTTGAATCACTGGCCACCAGTGGGTAACCCAATCTTCAACCATTTTGCCCTCTGCAGGGATGTAGGAACAGTGTAAAGTTCCAGGCTTCTGATGAGGGTCTGGTCGTTCCGATGATGAACCCCTACCCTGCAGCTGTCCAGGGGCCAGTCAGGAGTGGCCTCATTACAATACCAGACACTCCCATCACTCTTACCAAGGGAAATTCTAAAGGTTTTAGGAACTCTGTGCGAGGAACCACAGATACAAACCATATCCTTCTGTGATGCCTCAATTCTGAATTAGAAATATAATTCCAATAAAAGCAAAATAATTATTTCATTAGATGACAAAAATCCAAATGCTCTAGTTATGTTTGTAAAAATGTTCTACTATTGTTATTTAACAGAAAATTAAATTCCTTTTTTAAAAATAAAGGTACAGGAAAGGATAATGATGGTGATGAAAATTATATATAATTTGCCATTTAAAGCTAAATTAAAACTTTCCTGTAGATTTACAATGATAAGATCATAACTGATCAGTGGAAACCACATTAGAATCAAGAAACAGAGCTGAAGGGAGTGGGCCCGGGATCAAATCCTGCCTCTACTCTGATTCAACTTCTGGCTAATGTGCCTGGGAAGCAGTAGGTGACGTTACAGAACATCCCCAAAACTGGTTGGAGCACTTGCTATAGAACCCCAAAACTTGGCCAGCGCCGTGGCTCAATAGGCTAATCCTCCACCTAGCGGCGCCGGCACATCGGGTTCTAGCCCCAGTCGGGGCGCCGGATTCTGTCCCGGTTGCCCCTCTTCCAGGCCAGCTCTCTACTGTGGCCTGGGAAGGCAGTGGAGGATGGCCCAGGTGCTTGGGCCCTGCACCCCATGGAAGATCAGGAGAAGCACCTGGCTCCTGCCTTCGGATCAGCGCG